ATTTTCAACACTGTATATCATTAATAATGGTAGTTTCCATGTAACATTTCCACACATGACCCAAAACTATGGAGTTAAAAAACGCTGCGAAAAAAGGTAAAGTAACCCGACCGCCAGAAAACCGCGTGGATTGTGAGCGAGGTGGACCCAGCGGCCGGCGGGGTGGGGCGAAGCGGGCCCGGGTCGGCGGCAGCCCCCCCGCGGGCCCCGGGGCCTTACCTCCCGCAGGCACCGCGGCGTGGCACAGGCCCCTGCACGGCCCGAGGTCCGCTCCACAGGCTCCGCAGGCAGCGTCGCGACGGGGGCCCCCGGCCAGGCCCCTCCCCGCCGCCCCCGCAGCGCCCCGCCGAGCAGCGGGCACCGGCGGGCTCCGGCGGGCTCCGGCGGGGCACAGCCGCAGCAGGGCGAGCCGCGGGGGACCGGGTACCGAGGTGTCGCACCGGCATCTCAAACAAGCGACCTGCCCGCCAGTCTGGTCTGTAGTGAGGAGGTCAGTGACGGGGAGCCGGGCCGCGGGGAGCGAGGTCACCCGGGGGTCAAAGGGTGAGCGAGACGGCGCGATACTACGGCAAGCGAGTACCCGGTCACGAGCCGGTGTTATGAGCGTGTGCAACAAACTGTTGCGCACACTGCTGGGACAACGGTGAAAACATTCGCGCGTCTGTGCAAAGTTTCCAGACGTGGACCCGGGGTTTCGGTGAACCAATTACGAGCTCTCGATCGGGGACGCGGAGGTGTCGCACTTCCTTGCCCGGGCACACATAGTGCCCCTCCTCCGTCCAATTAAAAGGCGCCCCCGGTCCTTGGTCCCACGGTGCGCGTCCCTCGGGGGGCCCGGCGCCCCCGGAGCCCCGGAGGAGGGGGACCTCTCTGCTTGCCGTGCCTCGGGGGCCTAAATCAGCGGAGCGGAGCCCGGCGGAGCCCCGTGCGGCCGCAGGGTCCAGAGCGAGCGCCGCCCGCCGCCAAAGGAGAGCCGGGCGGAGAGGAGGGAGGGGAGGGGGGAGGAGCTCGGGGAGATACCCCCCGCGCCAGAGGCTCTATGGCAAAGCCGGGGGCACAACCGCTCGCGAACGTAGATCGCGAACTCCTTTCCTCCTATGGTCCACTTGAGGTGCGACACCGACGACGGACGGGTACTTCACTCCAAAAACAGGAATCAATGAACATTACGCCAGAACACCTTCCAAAAAATGTGAGAAAAAGGTTCAACAAAAATCAGTGAAAGAATTCAGAGACAAATCGGAAAACATCAATGAAAAATCAAATTTAAAAAAATGGTCCAATAAATTGGTGTAAGCTAGAAGGTTCAGCAAAAATTAGTGAAAAAAAATCGGACAAAATCAATAAAAAATCAAATTTAAAAGAAAATGGACCAATAATTGTAAGCGTAACTTTATAGGGGAGTATAACTCGAGCGACGGGCTAAAAACTGCTACCAGCACTACCGAGATGGCAACGAGCTGCTACGTGGACCACAATCGCCTCACGTTCCCCGCGGGGGGAGAGAACGCGATATGCACACCGCGCTACTATATACGGTCGCTCGTCTCTATTAGCGATTCCGCCGATGAATACGGGCGCGATGTGCGATGCTACAGATCTCGTTTCACCGAGACGCGCCGGGCGGGTGTAGCGTGCGCTATGATGCGCGGTGCCGCGCCCTGGGAGGGAGTGGTATAGTACGGCCCCGCGCACCTCACGTGGAGCACCACACCACGCCACACCACGCCACGCCACGGGCATACCGGTCCTCGTCGCCGCACAGCATCCCCGCAGGAGATCTCGTTTACACGGGTGTCCCGGGGAGCGTGTGCGCCGCACAGCGCCGCACAGTGCGCCCAGCGAGCGTGAGAACACGCCCGCCGCGCACGCAGGCCCGCCACGCAGCGCCACGCCTTGGACGCGGCCAATACGTCATCGGAGCTGTCACAAACCTTTCGAAATAAACGTGCACGCGTAGTAACCCTTTTCTTAATGTTTTTGTGCGTGTTTTGTTTTCATTTTCTTGTTTTTTTTGTTGTTTCGAGGATCCGCCGCCGCCGCCGTCGGTTTTAGGTTTCCCCCGGTGTGCGCGCCGCGGTCTCGTAACGAGGCGTCGCTGCGGAGGGACCCGGCGGCGGGGACCCGGAGGAGGAGAAGAGGGACCCCGCACTCCTTTCTGTCCGACATAAAACATCGATTAGAAGCATGAAGTGTCGGGGCAGTGCCGGAGCCGAGTGGAGTGGACCGCTTCCTAGAACAATGACGAGAACATTTTGGCGCAGCGTGGTGCGGCGGCCGGCGGCGGCGGCGGGGCGCAACCGGTTAGAAGAGAGAGGGAGAGAGACAGAGAGATGGGAGGGGGGACAGGTGAGGTGGGACCCCTGCATGTTCTGTTCAGGGGACAGCAGCGAGAGAGAAAGAGGAGAGAGAGGCCTAGGGAGGGAAAGAAAGAGAGACCAAGAGAGGGGCCCAACCCGCGCCATCAGCCCGCGAGCGACTGTTTCTAGGAAGTGCATTCTCCTTTCCCCCCCGACCTTCCATCCCCCCTTCCCCTGCCCTCGGTGCACTCCCGCCCCTGGCCACTCGCCCGCTTCTATTTTCCTACGAGGTAGCTAGGCGGGGCCTAGCGACTCGAAAATGCGACTTTGAGGCCGACTTCGCGGCGGTGGGAGAGAAAGGTAGGAGCAAAAGGGACAGACGCAGACAGACAGACAGACAGACAGACAGACAGACAGACAGACAGACAGACAGACTCGTACGCGCGTCGCTCCGTGATTAATGCCCGTCCACAGCGCAGAGCGCCTTGCAAAAAGTAAAATATTGCATATTGCAACTGCCATTCAGACAGAAGCAGGCCGCAACCAGGGCGGGCGGGCTGCTGGCTGCGGTAGGACCCACGGCTAGAGCGGGTACCAACTAGTATAGTAGTGGAGCAAGGGCGACGACGACAGGACCGCACGAGTCCACACGGCGAGTGAATGTGGGTCGTTTATTGGGGTATTTTGGGGTGCAGGAGTGCGGGACAAAGTTGGATGGGGCGGGCCGGGGGCGGGCAAGTGTGTGTGTATGACACCGTGTGGCACGTACCTGTTGACAACCGGCAGGAGCTAGCTCACTCACCTCCATGCTTTATGGTCTAGCCTGTACTACACTGCCCTCGTCCCGCACACCTATAACGTGAGAGAGGGGCCATGTCACCACGCCACCCAGTTCACTTTTTGTTTTTCTTTTTATCTCCGCGTACCCGCCACTGCGGGACTTAGCGCGTCAAGTCGTCAAGGACAAAGCACCACCTGGTCTTGGTGTAAAGACGACCGACGCGCCTCGGGTGGGTGACAATAGGAGGAGGCCGTGCCGCAAAATCACAGGAAAGATACGACGAAGGAGAGTAGAAGGGCGATGACGACGACGACGGGGACGACGACTCTGGGAGCAGCAGGAAATGGAAAACACTTGAACGCGCGCCCGTCCGGGTGCGGCAAGGGTTTGTGTGACGCACAGTAAACCTCTGGGAACGGCGGCACGGTAAGTCCGGGGCTATGTCGGAGGGTGGCTATAGGGCTGCTATGGGGCGGCTATGGGGCGGCCATGGGCAGCTGGGGCCACGGAGATCCACAGACTGGGACGAGCACGAGGGCGAGAGGCCTTTTGGAATTTCGGTGCGAATCACTCTGGTCATTATTTGAAATCCCTCTCTTAGACGCGGCCGTGCGGT